GGGAGAGTGTGTGTTTGTGGGAGAGTGTGTGTTGGTGGGTGATGACGGATGTTCAGGTAGTTGATCCTCAAAAACAAACATGGGAAGAGTCGGTCGCACTGTAAAACACACAAAAGGTCAACAGCTGCCAGCAGGTACAGAACATGTAATCTCTGCCCTGAACACATCCAGCACCCCCAAAAACAAAGCTTCACTAGAATCACCCGGATTCTGCACCCCTGAAGTACCACTAAAACCTCTCTAGTGACCAACAGAACCACTTTAAGGACCACTACAACCAATTAAAGGCCTTTAAAAAATCACTTAGCTGAGCATGAGAATGACATAAAGGATCACTGGTGGCATCAGGGACCCTTGAAAAACTTGTAGACTACCTGAAGGGTCTCTAGAACCACCTAAATGACAACTAGAAGTGATGAAATTCCACTAAAACCACTTAAAGGAGATCTAGACCTGTGAAAGGGACCTATAGAACCACCTAAATGAGAACAGAACCTGCTTGGTGACCTCTAGAATCTCTTAAGGACCTGTAGAATCAACTAAAATCATTTCTTAAACCACCTACAGGAATACAAGAAGTAATAAACGATCACTGAAATCACACAAAGGACAAGTATATCTAATGAAATGACCTCTAGAACCACATGAAGGTCCAATAAAACCCTCTTTGTGGCCTCGAGAACCCTTTAAGGATCTGTAGAATCAACTAAAGGATATCTAGAACTACCTAAAGGACAACTACAAGTCCACTACAACCACATAAACAAGGTCAAGATGAATTTAAAGGACCTCCAGAACACAAAAAGGACCAGTAATCCTCCTTGTTTGCCTCAGGAATCTACTAGAACCAGCGATAAGGCTACAAGGACCCCAAAAGCAATAATAATACTTTCTTGGTGACCTTTTGAATACAAAGGACCAACAAAACCCCATAAGGGTCTTTAGGGACCACAGCAGAACTTGGTGTAAACAAAGTCCACGTAATAGCGATCTAGACCTAATGAAAGAACCTCTCGAACCACCTTACATGCCAATAGAAATACCTTGGTGACCCCAAAAACCCATCCAGGACCTGTAGAATCACCTCAAAAGTCTCCAGAACCAACTAGAGGATAATTGGAAGTAAGGAAAGTCCACTAAAACAACATAAAGGATGATAATACTAAACAAAAACACCTCTAGAACCACAGATAAGAACAGTAAAACCTTCTTTGTGGCCTCAAGAACCCATTAAGGACCCTTTGGGTCCTAAGGGTCTTAAGAACTCCTTAAAGGCTCACTGAAGGCATTGTAAGACCACTAATACCAAATGAAAGACAGCTATACCAAATGACAGGACCTCCAGATCCAATTAAAGGACCCCAAAGAACCAATCAAACCTTTCTGAACCAATGGAACCACTTAAAGGATTTCTAGAACCACCTCTAATGTCATAATGAAACAACCTTAAGGATCACTTCAACCTCCACGGTGACCTCTAGGACCCATAGAAGACCTCCAGAACCACCTGAAGAACCACCTTCAGGAGCAGTTGTGTAGGCAGACAGACGGATGAGTAGACAGACAGGTACCTCTGTGAGCGTTCCTGCGGATGGTCTTGGTGGTGGTGTGGTAACGACTCGGAGGCGACTCGGTATGATGGGAGGGGGGGGAGGGGCACCTGTCTGCTGAGTCATCGTCAGGCTGAAACAGAGAGTGAAGGACATAACGCCGACTCATCGCGACCCAGGGTCTACTGCTCCTACATTTCCCAGAAGCTACTGCACGAGATGTAGCCTGTGTATGTTCTGTATGTTGCATACATGTGGCATACATGTTGCACGTGTTGTATGTGCCATGTACATATGCTGTGCATAAGGTATTATACATGTTCTATATGTGCTTGTCAATATATTGTATATATAGTTGTATATACGTTTGTGTCCCACCTCAGTGAAGATGTCGCGGACGTCTCTGATTGGCTGCCTGTTTCTCTTCTTCAGTGTCTCGTTGTAGTTGTCCAGCCTCCTCCTCACCGTGGTAACCTGTTGTCGGGTCAGTGTGGACAGCAGCGCCTCGGCCGGTGGCAGCGCCTCTTCTGGCGGCGCCGAGCCAGTCACCAGGGTGGATAGCCCCGCCTCCGTCAGCCACGCCTCCTCCAGCTCCACCTCTGCAGGTGACACAGACAGGTGAGGGTCGGACGGAGAGCGGCATTGCCTTCTGCTGCCCGTTAGACTTACCGTCCATACTCTTCCTCTCCTCCTCTTCCTCTTCTTCTCCCTCCTTCTCCTCCTCGATGCTTTGCACTTCTCGCCAGTAGGTTTCCATGGCAACACGTCGGTGGTCAGAGGTCACTGAGTCATGTGACGGCGGCGTGGAGGAGGTGGTGGATGGAGTCGATAGCATCCTGTAGAAACAGATCCCATCAGCCAATCAGAGCGATGGACTGACATCATAGACCCTGTCAGCCAATCAGAACGTCAGAGAGCAACAGGGGTAATTGAAACCAGTGACATATTCTCAAAGTGATCTCTGTAAATTATGTTGTGCAGGTTAAATCTCACTCAGGTAAAGTTTCATCTTGTTGGTGAGGATGTCTGAAAGCGTT